AAAAAAAAAAAAAAAAAAAAAAAAAGATCTACAGGTCACCTTGAAAAAACATAAATATCCCTCCAGCAGCCTGCCGACCTCAAGTCCCTGAGCAAGTGGAGGTCACACGCAGGAGAGAGGTGTCCTTCCTTCTGGAGAAAAGGGATTCGGCAGACTCCTAAGGAACGCCTCCCTGTCACCAAAAGGAAAAATAAAGGCAGATGGAGACGAGCGCTCAGGGCAGGGAACCGACACCTGAAGGGCGGCGAGGAACGGGGAAGAGCTGGTATCCCTTTTTTCCTCTTCCCTTTTCCAGGGCAGACGAGGGAGCATCTCCCTACTCCCGCCCCAAGCGTCAGGCCAGCCAGTCGGAGCCCGGGCGGCGGGGCGGAGCCTGCGCCAGTCCGACGGGTGCAGCCACGCCCCTCCCCCACACCCACACACACCCACCGCTGGCTCCACTGTGCTCCGGAAGAGCCGGTTACTCCTGTGCCCCACGGACTGCCCCCACCCCTTCCGCGCCCCAGGCCTAGTCTCCAGGGCAGCCCCAGGACTGTTCCAGCCAGGAGCGGTTAGAAAGAGGGGTGTAAGAGAGGACCACCTAGGATTAGAAAGGAAAATGGGACAGGAGCCATTCTTCCCATCTGGTGCAGAAAGACGACAATTACCTTCATCCCCGAACGAGACCCCGCCTCATCCCATTTAATCAGGGATCGTCCTTGCTCTCTGGCGGAGGATGAGCTTGGGGTGCCAATATGCCCGACAGCTGGGTGTTTACTTCTCGCCAGAAGCCACCCCAAGCAGCAGCTGTGTCTCCCCCCATCCAGACGACAGAGGGCAGACTTGACCCCACATGTTCCCAGACATTCCTCAATCCCATCCGAGGTGGCCACTCACCCACTCATGTGCCTCTAGGAAGCTACCAGAAAAGAGAAGGGGCGAACGGCCGTTTTATCAGCAACTTGTGAGAAGAATGTCTAGGAACGGACTGACCCTCCCTCAAGCCAGGCCAGGGGCCGAGCAATGAGAGAACGGGGAGGGAGAAACCAGCACCTGCTCCCCCTTTCTCACCCGCCCTGTGTTCCTGCTGCACCTCCCTGACTCTGGGGTCAGCTGCCACAGCGCCTGGCTCCACTCAGGAGCCAGATGGCAGGGGCAGGGAGGAAGAGAGAAGAGGGTTCGTTTGCATCCCTCTACCTCCTTCACTCTCCCCCTCCAGATACTCCTGGCATCCAACCCCAAGCACCACTGCTGACCACCCTCTCCTCCCGGAACATGACTCAGAAGAGTCTCAAGCAAATCCTGACACCCGGGCCCCTAATTCTGGAGGTGGAGGGTGGGAAATGAAGGCACGAGAGAAGGAGCAGAGCTAGAGCGCTAGGGGGAGGGGGAATTCCCTAATGGTGGTGAGACGATTATTAAAGCCCTCCCCCTCGCTGACTGAATGGATCACACTGTTAATAGGGTCTAGTAGGGACAGGGCTCTCGGCCCTGTAACTATCCCAACTGGCCCCTTTCCCCCAAGGTTAGAGCAAAAGTCTCCACCCCCTCTTTATTTGGGGGAGCTAGATAATGCACCATAATGCACCAAAAGGACCATGACCCCTCCCCTTCTCCCCTCAAGTCGACAGGTGACCCCTCAGATTCACACAGTTTTCATTTCCAAACTTCCCAGTGGGCTTCTCTATGGTGGTCCTAGAAGTTGGAGAAAGCCCACGTTTCCTCGAGGGTGGGGGCTTCCTTTACATTTTGAATAGACAAGGCGGCTAATGTCGCCCTCCTGACACCCCAACTCCCTTAGAGACTTAGCCCCAGCCCCCCACCCACTCTCCCCCAACAGCCCCTAAAGCCCAGAATCACAAGATTCCGGCAGCACCCCCGCCCCTGCTCCCAGATTTGGGGGGGGGGCGTCCTTAGGCCGGAATGGCCAACCCTAGGCCCAAGAAGAGAGCCCTTCCCACCTGGGCTCAGTAGGCGGTGCTGGGTTTCGGACCCCAAACTCCCGGAGACGGAGGGTGGGGCGAGGGCTACGGAAAAGCTTCGGATGGGACTTAGTTGAACTTGAAGGGCTGTGCGGGGCAGGGCCGGCCAGGGATTGTGGTCGATGCTGCCTCGACCCTTACCACGGGGAGGAAAGGAGTTGGGGCGGCGGTTATTCCCCCTCCCGTTGGGGCTAGGATGGCGTGGGAAAGCGCTGGTTCCAGCGGGGAGGAGGCGAAACCCGGACCGCGGGAGATTTTCCTGGCGAGGAGGGCCCGGGGGAGGGGGAGATCCTGGGCCCCGAAGAGGAGGGGTACCGCGAGAGGATGGCGGAGAGGCGTGAGAAGCCTCTGGATTCCGGTCGCAGAGGACAGGAGAAAATGGGCGAGTGGCTAGTGCGGGGGA